GCAAGGCAAATAAGATCTTTGTTCCACATTTTTCTTTGTTTGCTTTTAGAATACTTTAAAAACGCAAAAATCATCCTTTGCTCAGGGTGTGAAAAACAGACTGTGGGGAGGATTTGGCCTGTGGACCATCGTTTGACACTCCCGAAATAGAAAATATACAACACTTCAAGACATGCAGGGGGTTTAAATGCTCAGCTGAGACAAGTATTTAAGGTCAGGGTCCTGGCTGTAGAAACCCAGATGGAGGCCCCACGGGTGCTGGTTGGGAAGATCCTGGACACTGGGACTTTTACCCTTACCTAGCAAGAGGGGGCCTTTCTGCTGTACTGCATTAGACTCCCCAGCAAGACAACAGTCGCCTGCTCTGGAGCTGCCCCTTGCCTCCACTAGCAGGTGGGCTGGCCACGGGTTAAACCCCAGTATCACCTGGCCAGGGAGGTGCTGAGCTGGGTCAGGGAGAAAAGAGGCCACGCACTGAAAAAGCAGCAGGATTCAGCTACCTGCTAAATAAGTACCGCTGAGCCTGGCCCAGGGAGATTCACCCTTAGCTGACCAGAAGTGCTGGAACATAACGCAGGATAAACAAGGACTGCTTCAGGCACTTTCTCGGGACACAGGTCCTACCCACCCTGGCAAGGAACCCAAGAGGTGAGGCACACTTGCTGCCAGGATGACTCTGAGGGACATGAAGGAAGTGACAAGCAAACAGTGGGTGAAGTAGCCAGGCCAGCTGATAGAGCGGGCCGGTTGGAATGGATGTATTATTTGAGTCAGGAAGTCCACTGAAGATTACACTCCGTGGGACGATGGTGGAAGGCCAAGGTGCTGGAGACACCAGCGTACCAAGCTCTGTGACGGCCTCCTCTGCAGGCCTCGGGGGCCTGGAATGAGCAATCGCAGACCTGTGCTTGTTAACACCTAGGGAACGATTTGCCAGCCAACTCCCTCCAGCCCACGGGGGACAGAGGCCAGGCAGGCAGAGCTGTTTCACCAGAGCAGCTAAGAGGCCTTGTGCAATGCCCAGTGAGGTAGGAGCGGGAGTGGCAGGGAAACGGAGAGAGGGCCGACAGAGCTCAGAGAGTTAGGGGCAAAAGACACAGGCAGCCGACACGGATGCCATTTTGCATCTGCAACAAGCAAAAGTGGGCAAGGCTGGAGGAGGGGCCGAGGCTGTCACCCCAATGAACAGGCACGCGCCTCACTTGGCTCTGAAGCCTGAGTCGAGGAGCTACCAACAGCAGCCTCACTTCTCAAGTGTCTCAGCTCTCCTTTGTAATTAGAGCCTCTATAATTTACTTGGGTTTGAACTTCAACAGATGTAGACCTCTAAATGCTCTCCTCACTTATACCAAATGCCATTACCGCTTCCCAGCCCCGCACTCGGAAGGTCCTGACTTGCTCTGACTTGATATCAAAGGAAGGACAGTTTAGTAACCTGTGTGTCCGTAAGACGGTCACGAACCTGACTCACAGTTGCCAAGTTTTATAATATTCCATTCAGGCAGAGATTATTTGGAAGGTGCTGCTAATTACTGAATATTAAAGTGATGGCTCAATATTGAATGATGTTTTAAAACAATCTATTTCAAGGGACACATGGGATTTCAAGCTGATCTTTGGGAAGCCAAGGCCTACAGACTATAAAAACTAAAGAGAGATATAGGTATTTACACTAAAATTCGAGTAGATGACAACTAGAGAACTGCACACGTTTCAATTTTTATAGGATTTTTAAAGCATATACACAAATCTACTAAAATAGTTTGATCTCCGAAAATATTATAAAACATTTAGCAATATGGTATTTACCCCTAGATGTTTACTATCATGGAGCTTAAATGTCATAAAATATGTGTGTTTCCCCTCATTTATTTGGGAAAATTCCAAAAGGGTAGTCAAAGCTGTTTTAAGTATATTACTAGAATAAATCGTGTTAGTACACCAACACAGAGAAACATTTCCAGAGCTTGGATGAGTTGGTCATCTGCATTGCTCTAACTGCTTTAAATATCAAGCACTGTGCGTATGAAAAGGGTAACAACTTAGGACTTAGTGCCCACCATGGCAAAATGCCCAAGGCACCTACAGAGCAAGCAAAGTGCCCACCAAGAGCTGACTCCTTCCAGCTATTAATTTAATCCTCAGGCCAGGTGGGTGGCACACGCCTATAATCCCAGCACTTGGCATGCTGAAGCAGGAGCATCTCCATGAGCTCAAGGCCTGGGTTATGTAGTGAGTTCAAGGCCAGCCTGAATTACATAGGGAGACCCTGTCTGAAAAACAGAAAATAATAATCGTCAGAAAAACACTGGTATTACTGTGCCTCTTTTGTAGCTCTACAAGTAGGCTTTGAAAGATGAAGCAGCTCACCAAAGGCCACATAGCTCCCACATGGCTACTGTGGGATTTGAACCCAGATCTTCTGACACCAGTTGTAGTATTTGGTTTACTTTGGCACAGAAACAAATAGATCAAGAGCTGGCACACCTGTTTTGTAAAAAGCCTCTTTCTTCTGTGAAAAGTATCCTTTTTTATTTTTTTCTTATTCTTTCTTTATTGTGAACATTAAAGCTTTGCCAGTCAGAGTCTGTGTCCCTAACTACTCCATGCCACAGATAAGCTGGAGAAAGGGTTTGGCTGTGTTCCCCCGAAGCTTTGTTTGCAAACACGGGTGGCAAAAGGGTTGGGCCAGGAGCCACAGTGTGCCCACACCCGACATTCATCACAACAGGCAAACCACCTGCCAGGGACCGGGCCTAAGAGTCCCTGCACTCGCGTTACTGGTTCCACCCAGGTCCATCTTGCCATCCTCGTCTCCCCCATAGTGCCAACCTCCCTCTTCCTAACCCCACTCCAGTTTTTGGATAAACACTTTACGACAGCAATAACTGAAAGCATCTTATGTGTTTGATGTGTTTCATTTGTTTCTTATTCTTTTTTTAACGTGAGCACAAATTCAGGATGAACAAGCTTTTTCTCCTAATCTTAATAAAAATATCTTTTGGATTCCCAAAGTGGAAAAACAGTGTATTCTTACCATCTGGATTTCCTTATTAAGTAGTTCTAAATGTCATAGCTGGGAGTGGTGGACACACCGGTAAACCCAGCATTCAGGAAGCTGAGACAAGAAGATCTCAAGTTCAAGGCCATTACACAGGGAGACTCTGTCTCAAAAAACAACAAATAAACACATAGTTTTGAATGGTAAAGAAAACCTAGCAATGCTCCTTAGCTGTCAGGGTGCTAATATCTGGACAACAGCAGCGTCTCTCTACTCTTCCATTGCTCAACTTTCCATAGTGCTTTAGGGTTCACAACATGTCTTCTTGCACATAATTCCATTTATCTTTAAGCAGATTTTGAAATGTATATTGTTGTCTACAGCGACAGCACCTTGGATGCACCTGATCTCGCCTGAAATGCACACTGTTATGGTGAAACATACTCAGCAGAGGTTAAGCGACTTCCCAAATCCCAATTCCTTCTCTTCAACATCAAGGGCTGTGCTAGGTATGAAGAATAAGGATATAAATAAAATTCCATTTCTGTCTTTCTCTCTTACTCTCTTTGTTAATCCTCCAAAACTCCAATCCCTAGATAAATAATTCTGTAGATCCTTCTCTTGTCAGGGCCCAGGTATTCTTATCCCCTTAGGGGCCTCTGCCTTGTTTAACCAGAAAATGAAGTTAGACCATGGCTGAGGGTGCAGCTCAGTAGCAGAGCAAATGCTTAGCATGCACAAGGCCCCCACAACAACAATAGCAGCAACAACAGAAAGGGAGGGAGGAAGGAAGGAAGGAAGGAAGGAAGGAAGGAAGGAAGGAAGGAAGGAAGGAAGGAAAGAAGGAAGGAAGGAAGGGAGGGAGGAAATACATTAGAGCAGAGACCTTTCCAGAAAGCCAAACAGGGCATCAATCTCCCTGATCCTGGGATCACTGCAAGGACAAACTTACCACAAAAGGCCATTGCTTTGGACCAAGCCTTGCACTGGGCCCCAAAAGACCAGACTACAAATCAAAATGGATCCATACTGAAGTTCAGGGTCACCAATTCAAAACTAAATATCCCCCCAATCAGTCAGTTTCAGTTGGCATGATAATGAAATGCTGTTTTAATAAAAAAAATAATAATAATAACCTGAAGTCAGCCAGTGTTTACCAGTTACTTTTCTGTCATTATCTCCCTGTCCCTGCCTTACAAGGATGGCAACTCTGAAACAGCCAAGCTGTCTGTCCATTGCTTCTTCTCTCTTCAGCCTCCATCTGCCTGTAAAATTGGCCACGTCTGCTCATCTCACTGGGACACACATTTTACTTTATGGGATGAAGCAATATTCAATTCTACCACCAGAACTAAAGCCAACCAAGATTTGTGAACTAAATTAACTATAATTTTTTTTACAATGTAATTACAAATAATCATTAAAATGTTTTTAGAATGATCAATAGAAACTTAGTCTTTATTTTATCCTGTTCACTGCTATGTGGAGGTTGTTTTATTTTCCCAAATAAATATAAATTCCTCAGTCTCTGTCTTGGCTTCTCTCTCCTTCAGATATTATTCACTGTATTTCTGTAACCTGTCAGTAGTTTTTCTGCACAGGGTCAGTCCCTTGTATTGACTGGTTTTTCTTTAATGTTAAAAAGATAATACCTAGGGGCTGGGGATTTAGCTCAGCGGCAAAAGCGCCTGCCTGGCAAGCGCAAGGTCGTGAGTTCGGTTCCCGGTACCGGAGAAAAACCAAAAAACCAAAAAAAAAAAAAAAAAGATAATACCTAAAGTGAGATAAACTGTATTACTTGTTCACAGCCATGTCCTCAATATCTGATCCCAATTCTTTCAGATCCTGTTGGTTGACTGTATACACAGTTGTCCTGATATTTTCAAAGAGCATATTCAGTGGTTTAGGGCATTTTTAGTTCCAAGTAGGGATTTTTTTCTTAATTGTGAAGCGTCTGAACCTGTAAGAGCCAGCAGAGTACGCCTCTCTCCTCGCTTACCTCTGCAAGCAGGTCATGTAGCTCTCCTTCACTGGGGCAGCATCCTAACGACCTGACAATTGTCCCAATCTCTCTGAAAAAAAAAAAAAAAAAAAAAAAGTTGTCCATAGTTTTAGAAAACAAACTCCAAAAAGCCAAGGCCTATATAAATATCAAATTAAATAGTTATATCTGAGTTGTTTCAGATCAAAGGTAACACAGCAAACCAGCTCAGCATTGCCTCGTAATAAAAAAAGATACCTTCTGGGGGAAAGGAAAAGGCAGACGAGTGAGCCAAAGAGAGAGGAGAGCATTGTTTTCATTGACTGTCAAATGTAAGCTCTGCCTGGGCCAAAACCAAGATGCTCTAGAAAAGAAACAGAAAGGAGAGGAGGGGGAGTCAGAGCCAGAGACGGCAGCAGCTGGCCGGTTGGTTGTAACTTCGCTGGACTCTCAAGCCTCAGGTCCCACATCTGTAAAATGAGGATGCTCATGTCTGCCCAGAGGTCTGTGATGAAGTTTACACTAGCAACGGAGCCAGGAAGCACCGTTTCCAGTGCCAGACTCCAAGGGTCCATCCCCAGCTCCGGGACTTGAGAGAGTGGGCAAGTTGCCTACACAGGTAAGCCTCCTGGTAACTGAAACACAGTGCCTTCCTCCCAACACCGAGACCCGTGCTGGGGACACTGTGGAGTCAAACACGATGAGCTATTGTAAAATCAAACAGCAGACCTAACACTTGTCAGAGCATAAATTGCAGAAAGAGACGTGGGCCAGAGACTCGGGTCAGGTAACAAACCAGAAGCAGAGGATCAAGAGGCAGCCGTACGAAGGGAGCATCAGTAGATAGTGCAGAGAAGTCCGACTGCAGCCGGTTGAGGTGGGGAATATGGTGTCAAGGACAAGCTGTAAAAAACCCTGAGACCAGAAACGTGTGAGCAGGTCTTACCAGGGGTGGGAAGGAGCCCAGGCAGAGAAGGCTGCAGACAGACCTCCCAGAGGAGGGGACAGCCCTTCCAAGGGCTGCATGCTCTGTGACCACACGGCCACCCCACCCCAGGGCCTGCCACCTGCAAGCTGCTGCGTGAGAGCAGGTGGCAGGCTCTCCCTCTGCCCAGCTCTCTTGGAGGAACCTACCAGCCCCTTCTTCGAGCTGCTCCAGCGACAAGGCCCACTCTGCCCAGGTGGACCACGGAAAACACGGTCTCCTTCCTCTCCAGTCCAGAATCACAAAGGCCTGACTTATACAAGCAAAACAGGTAAGGGGTATTTTGCTGCTGAGCCCAAATTGGGCTAAAGAACACAATTCTCCCAAGAACTAAGAACCCACCGTGTCCACCCGCACCTTGCTCAGCACCCTCCCCCCGCCCGCCCTGGTGCAGCCCCTCGTCCTGTGGGGAGCTGCAGGGTTCCTGGGGCTGAGCTCAGCAGGGCACTGGGGACACAAAGCTGTCCTTGCCTCTCGCCTACACCTCTCATCCGCACCAAGGGTCTCCTGTCCCCCATTGCCCCTCAAGACTACACTGGCTGCGGGGTCTCAGTGCCACATAAGAGAAGGAGAGGTCACAAAAAAGGAGCATCAAACTTTGTACTGCTCTTTGCCAGTAGCGGGGTGGGATTGACTGGATTTATAAAAGAGATGCAACCTGTCTGTGGCTCTCAAAGCTGCCGTGCAGTTCGTATCTGTAGCCTTCATTTTGGGATTTGGAAAGGGGATGGCGAAGAAGTTCCCAGCTGAAGACGCTGTCCCCTCGGCAGTAAAGGGCAAGGTCTTTGCAAGGCGAGCAGGACGAAGGAAAAGGGCCCCGCACCACTCACCCACCCCATGCCCGCAGCTGTCTGAGCTCAAGGCCACACCCTCAGGCCCACTTGTGGTATCCTCTGTGTGTCCCCAACTCCCCTCTCAGCCCTTCCCGTTTCCCCGAGGAGCTCAGTCACCACGACACAGAGCATCATGGTCCTCGACTGCTCTGAAACAAGCTGCCCAAAACACAATCGGCTTAATGAAGGATGATTTATTATTTTTCTCAAATGTGGGGTGGCTGGGAGCTCCCCCACTGGTCTCTCCTGGGCTCACTCATGGACCTGTGCTTAGCAGTTAATTCAGCCATGCGTCAGCCACTGGAGATTCCCATTCTCACCATCCTGACCTCCGGGCCCTCGCCCTCCAGCCGCCCACCCAGTCCATCTGTGACCTCCAGCAACCCTCATTTTCACTTCCTGTGTGCCTGCACAGCACTGCCCGGCAAAAACAATGAACAGAAGCAGGCACAACGTACTACAAAATCATTCCCTCCAGACTGCTGCGAACGACTGCTTCCACCTCAGTCCATTTCCTGGCAAACCCGCCCTCCACCCCAGCTCTCTGGACCCTCTCTGTGGCGTGCACAGCACCACTCTTTCATCTAGGCAGAAGTCCTGCCACCCACTTCACGCCAGCCCACGTCACCGTCAGCGTCAGCGTCACCACCACGGCCACTGCCTGGCCCACCTCAGGGTCCCTGTTTGGCCTCTTTCCTATGCTCTGAGCCTTGGAGGAACAGAGAAGCTCAGGAGCCGGCCCCTCTGGTGTCTCTCAGCTGGCTCTCGGCTCGTGTGCGTCCCTCGGACACGCCTGCCTCTTCCTCTCAGTGTCTTTGTTCTCCCCTTTACTAGTTGCCTCCTTTCCCTAAAAATGCTGACAATTTTCCTCACCCTGGAAAGCAAAGACTCATACCTGCACGACCACCTCCAACCATTCCGCTTCCCTGGTTCTTTCCGTAGTGTCAGAACTTCCGAACTACGTGTGGGTTTTTGTTTCTTTTCTGTGTGTGCTCCAGGTGCTGCGGCCTCACATGGTAGGCAGCGCTCTGCCACCGCACTACACGGGCCGTACATCCATGGACTCTCACAACAGCCCTGCGAGGGGCCTCTGTCACCACACTGTACACAGGAGGAAGCCAAAGCCACAGACAGAGTGACGCAGCCACCATGACACGGAGCCAAGGCTTCACTCAGTGCTCAGGATGGGCCATCGCGGTAAGAGCTGTGCAGTCTGACACAGGGGTAAGGAGAAAACGGGGAGGAGGACTAAGAAAGGCTCCCACGCAGTGAGGAGGAGGATCGCTGGTCCTGCACGGGAGCGGACGCCCTGTCTACGTCTCCTAGGAGTAACAGTCCTCACGGGTTCTCGTAGCCCGGCGCCAGGATCATGGTCTGTGTGGACACCAGAGAAAGTATCTTCTGGCTGTCGGGTGAGTGTTAGAGGAATAGAGTCACATGGTGTTTCATCACCTGTGTCAGCCTCTGCTGTGCACAGCCACTTACTCCTCACAACGGCTCAACAACAGCTACTGTTATTTTACAGAGGAGGAAAACTGAACCACAGGTGGAGCGCTTTCCCCAAGACCTCATCACCAGTGCATTGTGGGAATGGGATTTGAACACACATGGCTGAGAGGCCATGGGATTAACCACAGCAACTGCTGCCTCGCTGAAGCTCAACCAAGTACTTAGTGAGATTTAAAACAGAACTTCGTGACTTTCGCAAGGTGCTTCCAAACAAAGCTCTGGATATACCACTCCATGGGTGCTCTGGAGACAGATCTGAGGAACAAATCTGACCCTCAGATGTTCGGCTTAGCACAGTCTGGTTTGCTTATTTTTTTAAATGGTTTTGGTGCTGGAGATGGACCCCAGGGCCTGTGCATGCTAAGTACACACTGCACCACTGAGCTACACCCTCAGCCTGGTTGTTCAGGTGGGGGACACATACATGTCCTGAGAACAGTCCTGTACTCTTTCTGATGCACACATTTCTATGACAGGCTCATCCCCTGAGAACCGGTATTTGTCACCTCTGAAAAATACTGGTTTTATACTGTTCTGAAATTTACCTGTAAGAAGCAGGGGGATGAGCCAAATGACCTTGTGAAGCTCTCCCGAAGTCTTGTGGCTCTAAAGTTAGTTTTGAAGAGCATCACTCTGATTTGGGTAAGTGGCCCCCAAAGACCCATGTGTTAAAAGTGTAGTTACCAGGCTGTGGAGCTACTTGGAAGTAATGGGACCCCTAAGAGGTGGGGCCAACTGGAAGGAAGTTGAGTCACTGGGGGCACACTCTCACAGGAGATATCAGGACCCCCACTCCACCCTGTTCATCTTCTTACTTTCCAGCCACCATGATGTGAAGCAGCCTGTGTCCTCCACCACATACTCATGCCACCGTGTTCTACCTCACCACAGGGCCCAAAGCAGCAGGCCAACTGACTACAGACTGAAACCATGAGCCAAAATAAACCTTTCCTCCACTTAAGTTGATTAACTCAGGCATTTTGCTACAGAGACAGAAAGCTGACTAACACAAACACACAAAGACATAAAACCTGTGGTTTATGGAAGCAAATGTTTTTGTTCTTGGAAGATGTATCCTGAAGCATCTCAGGGAAAGGTTACATGTCTATGACTTACTCTCCTACAGGCCAGATGACATAAAGTGTGTAAATAGTGAATCCAGGTGAATGAATGCAGTATAACACTCTCACAATTTATGGGTTTGAAATTTCTTAAACAAGCTTTCACCAAAAAACAAAAAAAGCATGCTTCATCCTCAGCCATCAAAACCAAAGTACAGTATTAGAAAATGATAGCAAAAATCTTGCTTCATGTAAATAACCTATAAAACATTTGCTCTTTTGTGTTGTTTTGTCTAGATCATTTTGACTTTAGAAGTTGTTTATTAGATGTCTTGATCCTGTTTCAATTATTAATGCCAATTATTTAATAGATAATTAAATTGTATAATAACATTTCTATTCTCCACCTCATAATTGAAAGTTTGGACACAGTAAAGAAATATAAAACACTGTTTTATATAGTAAAATGGAGGCAAGGCTGGATACCAGCCTATCATTCTTTGCAGACAGAAGTACAGGAGATTGAAGCCATCTTCTTCCCCCTGTAGACACTGGAAGGCAGCACTGCGAACTGCCACCTGCTGATAGGTTAAGGCTGGCTTTGTGATTGCCTCTTGTTGAACACTGGGCTTGAGTCATCAGAAGCAGAAATGCCTCGCTCCCTGCAGGTGAGCAGCAGCTCCCAGCTGAATGGTCAGATTGA